GTATTCCAGTGCCAATAATACTAACATTAATAACACTAGGCTTAACAACATCAAGCCCAATAACATCTAAAAGGACAATAACATCTAAACAGACAATAACATCTGAAAGGACAGGATTACATGGTAGAGGAGGACAGATCAAGGTTATATGTGGGGGATAAACACCATGGGTTAATCTTTCAAATGATTCTTTTTCTCTTTTTTATTATAATTTACTTTATAATTGGAATTTTTAGTTATCACACTGTATTTGGTTTTTATGTTTAATTTGTTATTTACCTGGTTCTATTAATTTAGTGTGTTTTTCTTCTTTTCCCTCTTATTCTTTTCTCTCTCTTCCCTTTTCTCTCTCTCTTTTTTGACATGGAATTGAAAGCCTGCTTCCCCAGCGAGGGGCCTCAAAACATCTCAGTGATTACGGGTAGAGATATGGCCTTGACACAGGCCCTGCTCGTGTTAGAAGAACAGTGAACAGATGTCTGAAGGCTGTCCATCGTTCTGGGACTGTGGTCAACCGTCAGTATTGAGGTACCCAGACCAGCCAGTCCTCCACTCTAAAACTGGTGCTGTTGAGCGCCAGGTCTGTATCCAATAAGTCCCAGTTGATCTACGATCTTATCTTGGAGGAGGATGCAGACCTGGCATGCATAACCGAAACATGGATAGGCGGTGAGGGGAGTTCTCCCCTAGCACTCGCCTGTCTGCCTGGTTATGCTGTCCAGCACCAGGATAGACTGGAGGAATGGGGGGGAGTAGCCATTATATACAAAAACACTTTAGATGTTACTAGGCGCTTCTTGGTGGTAAAGCCGGGTCTGGAAGCCCTCCACGTGTCGATAGGGGCCAGGGAAGGTATTGGGATCTTGCTGGGTTACCGTGCTCCCCGCGACCCAGCCATTTCCCTACCGGAGCTGGCGGACTTTGTCTCCGCGGCCCTTTTGAGATCCCCAGAGCTGTTGGTTCTGGGTGATTTCAACATTCACGCGGAGGCAGAGACCTCTGGGTCAGCTCTTGAGTTCTTGGAAACCATGGCTTCCTTGAACCTGTCCCAACATGTCAATGGCCCCACGCACTAGATCAATGGCCCCCATACACTAGATCTGGTCTTTTCCACCAATTGGAGTATGGTCTGATGGTGACTGACCTCGTGTTGGTCCCCTTGTCATGGTCAGATCACCACCTAATAAAATGTAACATCTCAGTGGCTCACCCCCTCGCAGGGAGCAGGGACCTATTTCTATGGTCTGCCCCCGAAGGCTACTGGATCCGGTAGGGTTCCAGAACACCATGAGAGGTATTATGGCAGACCTGGCTTGCTCTCCTTTTGAGGCTCTGGTTGATGGCTGGTTTACTGCTGCCACCAGGGCTGTAGACACGATCGCGCCTAAACGCCCTCTCCAACGTAGAGCTCGGCCAGTGCCCTGGTTTAACCAGGACCTTTGAGCGATGAAGCAGCTTAGGAGAAGCCTAGAGCGCAAGTGGAGGAAGAACCCGACGGATTATAATTGGATAGCTGTCAGGGTTGCAACTAACCTTTAACTGGCTAAGGTAAAGGCTGCCAATCGTGCATACTTCGCTAACCGGATAAGCAAAGGTTCAAATCAACAGGCAGAATTATTCCATATAGTGCACGACCTATCCAGAATTGGTCTGAGTGATGGGCCTCCCCCTAGTTTTTCACTGGATCAATTTGCAGCATTTTTTAAATCTAAAGTGGAGGCCATCAGCAGGGACCTCTCTCCTTTTTAAAATACTGTACATTAAGTCGAGCTGAGATGTCCAGCGCTCCGTCTTGCCCGGTGACTTTCGATCGCTTTCAGCCTGTGACGCTGGATACTGTGGACAAAGCTCTTGATCGCTGTCGTGCCACCACCTTTTCCCTTGATCCTTGCCCGACCTGGCTAATCAAAGCAGCCAGGCCTATAACAACGGAATGGGCGACAGCAATAATTAACGGGTCTTTCCTTAAGGGCAGAGTCCCTCCTGCCCTCAAGGAGACACTTAACTAGGCCCATTAGGAAGAAATCCAATTTGGCGGCGGACAAAATTGGCAATTATAGGCCTGTCACCAATGTTTCTTTCATTAGCAAAGTGGTTGAGAGGGTGGTGGCTGATCAGCTCCAGGCGGATTTGGATGAAACAGACGCCCTGGATCCATTTCAGTTGGGCTTCAGGACACGCCATGGTACAGAAACGGCATTGGTCGCCCTGTACAATGACCTGTTGAGGGTGGCTAACAGGAGCAAATTGTCGCTGTTGATCCTCCTCGACATCTCAGCGACCTTTGATACCATCGACCATGGTATCCTCCTGGGGAGGCTCTCTGAGCTGGGAATTGGTGGCTTGGTGTTTGCCTGGCTCCGTTACTTCTTGGAGGACCATCCCCAGAGAGTACAGCTTAGGGAGAGTGTTTTGGCCCCATGGAGTCTCAATTGTGGGGTTCCACAGGGATCAATTATCTCCCCAACGCTGTTTAATATCTATATGAGGCCGCTGGGTGGGGTCATCAGGGGGTGTGGGGCATCGTGTCATCAGTACACTGATGATACCCAGTTCTATATCTCCTTTTCACCAACTGCAGGAGATGCCGTTCTGTCCCTTCAGCGCTGCCTGGAGGCTGTATTGCAATGGATGCAGGAAAATGGGCTGAGGCTGAACCCGGACAAGACGGAGGTTCTGAGGGTGGGCGCCCCAACAGTAGGTGGTTTGGAAAACTCTCGTTTAGGGGGGTGACTCTTGCTGCCAAGAGTGGGGTTTGCAGCTTAGGGATCCATCTGGATTGGGCATTCACCATGGAAACTCAGGTAGCGTTGGTGGTCTGCACCGCCTTCTTTCATCTCCGGCAGATAGCTCAGCTGCGCCCTATCTCAATGTGGGGGCACTCACTACCTTGGTACATGCACTCATAAGATTAGACCACTGTAACACACTCTACGTGGGGCTACCTTTGAGGCTGATGCGGAAACTCCAAGTGGTGCAGAATGCGGTGGCCAGACTCCTTAGTGGAGTGAGAAAATACCATCATATCTCTCCTACACTGGCCGCACTGCATTGGCTGCCGATTTGGTTCCGCATTGACTTCAAAGTGTTGATGCTTACGTATAAAGCCCTAAATGGTTTAGGGCCTCGATA